GCTGAAAAGTAAGGCTTAACAAATTCCACATGGGATCACACTCACTTATTGATGTCAGAGTAAAGCGAAAGAGCAAGAAAGAATTAGCCCTCTTGTCACCAGCCACGATAAGTCTAGGATGTAAACCTTTCAAAAATTTCGATGTGCGGGGACCTGACGGACCTAAAGTTTCAATATTAAATGGCAAACATACAAAATATGAACAAAGGAACTGATATTTGCGCCACTTACGAGTACTTCGCCTGCCTACGATGTCATCCCGGCCTTGACCAAAGTACCCCTTATATTATATGAGTATCTACACATGTATGCCAAAGGAGGGATTTCTTGGGAGTGAGGCAAATGCCTCACTCCCAAGAGATCAAATTCAAGCCACCGCCATCGCCGAAAAGACCAGAGGGTTCTAAAATAGATGGAACATTGATGGACCCTTACGGATAAATTAAATGGAATCTAATTGTTGATTATCCGTATTGGCATTTTTACTATTAAATTATCAATAGAACCTATTGGGATTCGATTCTATTCTTATTCCAGTTCATTCTTGTATTAGTATTTCTTCATATTATTCAGTACCCAATAATTTTTCTCTTTATATTAAAAACATATTTAAATTTAGATAATTTGGCCCAAATCCTCGTCGCAGAATTAGAAATCGAAGCAATGAATTTGAAATTAAAATGTTTTCTTTATATTGTCCTATTGACAATCTTCGTGACTCATCTTTTAAAAGGCATAAACTTCCAAACTTGTCTGACTTAATTTACTCTTGAAACCTGTAACATCCGAAAACCTTTTTTATTCTTTTGACATGTACCTACTACAACTGCGCTTAACTTGTCCGAGTCACTTTTCTTAATTGTGAATAACAACCGTATGTACAATTATAGCAGTAGTATAGTATAATAGTAAAAGTAGTATATCAAAGAAATAGATAAATCTATACAAACATCTTTATATCGGCAACATTATATCTCCGCGGATATATAAACCAACTATTAATTTACAATACATTTAATACAAAATACGTGGAATTTATAACATGCCTTCAACTGACTGTTGAACTACCTTAACAGAATAAATAAATACAATCCAGTCGTAATTCCAAAGAGTTTATTTGCTTGTAAACATTAAACATTCATGAAGATCTTAAAACTATATGCATTCCCGCCTAAACAAATAAATAGTATAGGAAGTATATAATCAAAAACATTAATCTAGTATCACTATTAATTTAAAACGGGTAAAATTAAAATATCAAATAGTATTTATCCTATTGACTTAAAAACACGAAGCACCCAACCAAAAGTTTGGTAGGCGTTAAGAGATACATGATTTTACAAAGTGAAAAAATATGAGATAATAAATACAAACAAGTATTAATACTATTACCTTACATCGTGTTATTATTTTCTTTTTGTTCGTCTTAACTGAATTTACCTTACAAAAATTACAATGACATTATTTTATTCCATGAGAACGAGAAATTTCATTGTAAAAATGAAATATTAAATTGATATTGCCAAATAAACGAGAAAATACATGAAAGGGGAAACTTAAAGTAAAAATATATAATATTTTACGGAAGATATAAAATATTTAAAAAAAAATTAGTCAATCTCAGTTAAATATAAACCCAGTATATATCAGTATATTGCTTAATCTTATACTACATAAGAGACCCCACAGGTAATGCTTTAAAAGTACATTATAAAAATTGAGTATTACACTTATGTTTATAAGCATATGTACACAATAAAGTGTAATAAAATATGTAAATTACTACAATTATGTGTATAGTATAAAACATATGAAACCATTTCTTTATCTGAAAACCTTCCGGAACCTTCGTCGTTGAAAAACAAATACTTAAACGCTAATAGACTACTCCACAGACTTTTTAATCAACGAAAATAACAAATTTATACAGGTAGACTTTTTTAATGGTGCCCAAATTTACACAGGAGGTTCAGACTCGGTAGTATAATCGTTTATTGAAATAAAAACAAACTTTTTTTTTTCAAAAAAATTCCCATTCCTTTAAAAAACTTATTGACAACGCGATAGTCATTCATAAATACCTAACTTTTACTGTTCACACACAAAAAAAACGAACTTGTGTGCGTGCTAGTTATGAATTATCGAGCGTAAAATAAATGTGTTGCGTATAAGTCTCGCACTTTTTGAGATAAGTTCAAATGAATGTTATTACTAAGATGTGATTTTAAATATTGATCATTTTTCAAATAACATTAATTATGTATTTAATTTTAAAAAATGGATACACTTAGAAAAGCCTCCCTGTATACAGAAAATAATTGTAATAGAAATAGCAGACTCAGTTTTTATATGACGTTATTAATTCACTGAACGCAAATATTTGAGCAACGGTTTATAAAAAGTTTAAAAATAGCTTGTATTTTAGCACGATTACAATTAGTATACATTTAATATAAGCTACAAGTAAAATTATGCTTTTAATGTATTATCAAAGCTTCAGTAAAGTTGCGAATATATCAAATGTCTAATGAATAATTTATCTCCATACTTATATATAAATAGCAAGAAAGATGACAATACTTTACTCAATAGCGTATAAGCGATTTATCGTAAATTTAAATTATTATCTCCCTTAATCTATATTATCAAATGTGAAAATTACTTTTCCGCCTTTTTGGTGGGATAGTGAATTTCAATTTCAATTTGATCAATTTTAATTTCAGTATTTTTGTAGACTGGTCTATTTTTTCCTTTTTTTCTCTTTCGTTTTCATTACAATATCAGAATCTACATATTATTTGATATATCCGCTCCAATTTTAATGTAATAAAGCAGCTCAGATTAGTTTAAGCTCATGTGAGTGTGATTAAAAAATCTTCCTCGACTTTTAAAAATTATAATTATTTAAATTGTCTCGTTACGTTAACAAATCATCTGAAGAAAAATGAGCAGTGAATAAATCAAACAATAGTTTGTGGGGTTTTGCCATAGTTGCCACACCTGGCACCTCTGGTCTTTTCACTCTGCTGCCTATAATCGGGGTAAGTATTTGACAAAACCCCCATTTTGAGGATGCAGATGGCCCAGCATTGTGCTTCGTGGCAATCTGTGGGAAAGGCCTGTATTGAGCAGTGGACTGGAAAACAGGCCAAAATGATGACGATGATGATAGTAAATATTTTATTTATATAATTATAGAAAATGGCACAGGCATGTTTTCACATTCAGCCAAAAGTGAAATACAGTCAGTTTCTCTAGAATTGAATTATTGGACGCAACGTCTAAGACTATCGACGAACGTAGTTTGTAGATAACGTACGATTTGCATCAAAATTGGTGTCACGAATTTAAACAATCCCACATTTGGACTACAATATTCATAAGCTCCAAAACCCTATCGTTTATATATATTTAACTTTGGTGTTACGTTTCATCTAACTACGGCTCTACTACATCTCTACGGTTAATAAATCGTTTATCCAAAATACTGACACTAAATTTTTCATTATCGCAAAAATATCGCTACAAAAATTTCTAAAATCTGATAAGACTATGTTACAATCGACTTTAAATATAAAACGACGTATATTATTATTGTATCATAAATTTCCTCGAGTACCGTATTAATAAAAATCATCAAAAAATTTTTCTTTAGGTCGATAATATTGCTCCCAATGACTGTAACAAATTGTTGATGTTACTCGTGATATAAGAAATTTGTTTTTAACATATGTGACATGGATAGTGCCTTATCTTCACATTTGAAATTGTTATATATCATTTGATGTAAAAACAACAGTCACTGGAAATAAAAAACATATTTTGAATGGCCACTGACCACCGTTGATCTTCATTCAAACTTTAATAAAGGATGATTATGTTTATTGTAATTAGAAATCGATATTGCATACATCACGAGTAATTTCAATAGAGATGAAAAAAGATCGCACTATTAAGAATTAAAGTATAAATGAATAGAAGCAATTACGTGAGGTTAATGGCAATAAAATGTAACCTATTGGAAGACATTTTTTTGAATCTGCATGCGTGAATAAATACTAGTTGCTTAGAGACAAGGTGGAATGTGGGAACAAACCTTAAAAAATAGTTACGTAATTACATCTATTCTTACCTATTTATAACTAAACGAGGTGAAACGAATGAACACAGGACATATGACCATATACTAAAATTATGATACGTGTAAGTTTCGCATTGTCTCAACAATATTAAAATCACTTATAATATTGGAAAAATAACACACTTAAGCGCTAAAAACTAATTAAAATCCAACCGGTCTAATTGCAACGTGAAATACTGTCGTCATTTCAATACAATCGTCAACATAGTTTCGCTAGATTAAAGCGTTCAATAAAGCTACAAATAAATAACACGTTAAACTATCTAAATACAATAACTTAACATTACAGCAGTCAACTATAAAATAACAGGACAACGATACAGTGCACTACAAAGGACAATTTAATAATGCACTAAATGTAGCACTTATCAATAGTTGTTATTACTAAATTTGAGGTAATAATTATAGATGCACTTCGACTGCGTTTTGTATTCTTTCTATGGAAAGTAATGATTCTGATATGACAACATTAATAAAAAGTAATATAACACCAAAACAGAAATTTTATGCGAATTTTACCACTACTGTACGTTCGACTAGTAGTAAAATTAGTATGCAATAAACTCATCCTTGCTAAATTTGAAAGAATTCAATAAACATTCGCAACGAAATGATTCTATTTTTTGAATATCCAGCAGTTGATGCGTTTTAATGATTATAAAAATGACAAAAGATCGCGATTTCATAAGATTTATGGCACTTATTCACTGCTACAGCACATTGTCATACACGAAAAAGTATTATGACGATTACACTAACATCGTATTCTCCACACTGCTAATTTACGAGTATTCTATCATAGTACCATAGTCCATATTTTGTCGGCCCATTTCGCTTAGTACCTTCGGATCCGCCGCTACATGTAGGCGGGTTTCATCTTGTAGGCCCGTTTCCAGATCTCGCACAAGCAAACCGTCGAATGGAATCTGTAGAAGATCGCCAGGGGCATCGACACGTGCGTTATTATCGTCCAGGCCCACAGGCCGTAGAAGTGCAGCTGCACCGGGTGCGATTCCGCCCTGGACTTTTCGAGCGTGTTGATCGCCCACATCGCTAAATTGGTCACCAGGAGGAACGTGACTATTTCGCGCCCCGGCTTCTTGCGCAGCTGCTCCGGCGTCTTCGCCGATCTGCGGCTCGCGTCCAATATGAACATCGTCTGACACGTCGTCTGCACCAACGACGAGAGCGCCGTAATCAATATCAGTATCGTGTTCTTCTCGATCGTGAAGTGCCCGCCGATGATGGTGAACGTGCCGTAGATGAACATTCCGGTCTGGGCGCCGACCAGCAGGATGTTGTCCAGCTCGAGGTTCCGGTTGCCGTCGTACTTCAGGTTCCTCACGCAAAACATTCCGGCCAAGCTCGCGAAAGTCGTCATAGCGTATAGCGCCAACTCGCACACATTCACCTCCACCACGGCTAGAGTGGCGTATTCTCTCCTCGATATGAGCACGAAGAACAGTATGAGGGAGATGATAGTCAGCACCAAGACCAGAATCCCAAAGAACAGGCCCTTGTGCGCCCTCGCGCAGTCGACGCTGTACAAATGAGGGGACTTTTTGTAGGCGAGACCTTCCAGCAATCGAGCTTTAGCGATGGCGGCGGCGACATCCTTCGAAGGGTACTTTGAAATGTTTTTCCACATCACGTACAAGATCGCAGCGCATATTAACGAGTATTCTATGGTGCATGGAAAGAGGAATGGTGACGCGTCTTGTACTAAAGAGCCCATGATATTCGTACGGCGGCATTCGAAGATATGATGAGGGCCTTTTAAGCCACGTGGTACTCGCAGATGCGCTGCTGCGGGGTGGGAGGGTGGCACTTCTGTAGCGAGGGAGGCGAACGCCTTTTGAAATGCTGAAATATAGAAATTTATACACTTATTATTCCAAACATTCACAAGTAATAAATACCATAAAGTATTCTACATGGAAACTCTCGCCTGTCCGGGAAGTTTGACAGAGGAGTTAAATTAAATAAAACAGATCGCATTTACATGCATATTTAACTTGAAATGATCAATAGTTTTCAACAACCTGTTAGGTTAATTTCATTTTATTGTTCTTGCTCTTCTAATAAAAAAAGGAATTATTGTAATATTACAATACCGTTACCGACAATGCTTATGTGATTATTTTAAAGGGTTTGACTAATTTTCCATAACTGTAGCTAGCGCGTTTACTTTCTTATTACTTTTCTTAAACTAATCCAGTAATATGATTTTATTAAGAGTCATCTATCTCTCTCTCTCTCTTATCGCCTCTCGCCTCTTTTATGTGAATAAATAGGTACCTAAAGGTAGTCTTCGCTGCACGAATGGCCAATTCCGTCTGGGGATGTACCACGTCCACACAGAGCGAAGACTACCGCGAAGTGGAATGGTGAGTGAGGTAACCAGGGGGCCACTTTATTAAAAACTATATTACAAACGTCCATGGATTTATAGTAATCTTATACAAACCATACAAAGTTTGAAGTAATAATTTAGGTCAAAGTAAAGTAACAGCCTTTATTTGTTCCATTGCTGGGCAAAGGCCTCCTCTGTACAGAGGGTATCAGGGCATAGTCATTAGTCTACCATGCGACCACACTACAGAATTGCGGCCTTCACAAATTTTCGAAACATTTTTTCTGACTGTATTCTATTAAGAGCGAACGCCCGGACAATGAGCTATCACGTCTCTTTCGGGATATCCAAAGACAATTTTCTTCAGGTTTGCGTAATGAAAATAAACAACAATTAAAATAAACAACAATTTAGAAAATTTTTGGTCACGATCTTGTTCAAGGGAAATATAAATATGTATATGCAAGAGCACATAAATAAATTGCCTGTAAGACATAGGAAAATTTTTCAGTAATTGTTTGGACAAACAAATAAATCTTAAAAGTAGTCTGTGAAAATTTAGCGCGATGGAATTTTAAGCAGGCTTTTTTGGATTTCATTGATATATAAACGTCAAAGTGCGAGTCGGACTCGTGCACGAAGGGTTCCGTACCATTATCAATAAAAAAGGCAAAAATATCATGTCTGATGTATGGGAGCCCCACTTAAATAATTTTTATTCTATTTTTTAATATTTGGCAACAGAAAGACATACTCTTGGTAAATTTCAACTGTCTAACTATTACGGTTCATCAGATAGAGCCGATCGAAAGACAGACAGGCAGACAGCAGAGTCTTAGTAATATGGTTCCGTTTTGGCCTTTTGGATAGGGAACCCTAAAATAGAAAAAAAATATTTTGATTATTAAAACTACAAACAAACTACGATATAATTATAAATAAAAACCTTACTTTGAAAAAATAAATTCGGAACGTCTATAATTTAAAAATCAAATTAAAACGTTATAAACTCCGGTAAATATTTTCATAAAACCGTAAAATATTCGCGTAAAAACAAAAACCTATATATTGGAAAAATAATCTATACCTTCCATTTCTAAATATATATACACGGCGCACTGGTGCTTCGAAGAAACATTATGTTGTTGTTTTCCGCTATACAACTTCTAAAAGCTCGTCAACCATCGCAGTTGCGATGAATTTTCCATACTCTACATGCGAACTGATATTTCGCCAATCAATAAAATCAGCCCATACACCCAGCTATGAGTTATGCGCGCCACGATCATCGCTGTCAAGCACCCCTTCTAGAATTCAGGTCAAAATTCCGTCCGGGGTCGACAGATAGGAATGCGGCCGGCATAGCTGCGAAGGTACGGCGTATCGAGAATTTTCATTCAAGTCACGGAAGCGACGGGGAAAAGAACGCAGAATTCAATAAAACCGCAAAATGTAGCCGCACTAAATAACAAAAAAGGGTCAAGAGGGAATAAATTGGAACAAAGAGCGGCACGGAAGCAAATTACGTTGTAGGGCACTGCATAAAAAATGAGGTTGGCCGCTTTCGCGCCATAAAACAAAGAGCGAGGTAAAGTAAGGCGTTGTTACTACGCTTTTTACAGTGTTTGCATCGGTTCGAAAGTATAATTTCAGTTCTGCTTACATTTTACTTATGTTCATTTATTAGCCGGCGCGTGCCTCTGAATATTAAGCTCGTTTGTCCCTTGCGAAGCGCGGGTAAATGTTTTCTTTGCATAGAGGCATTTAGAAAATGCTTTATTATACCTACAATGCATAATGGCTGGCAAAGCTAGAGTTCTATCAGGAGCTGCTGCAAAAGCAACACAACACTCTTTCTATAAACTGTAACATAGATGGTGAGCTGAATAATAAATGCTTCGTGAAATCACCGCCAATGGCAACTTTATTTTTATACCTTTTTAAGGCTTTGAGACAAGGAATTATTTTCATAAATAGAATTATATTGATAGAAATTGTTCATAGAAAAAATGATAGAAATTGTCCACACGATTACTAGCCCAAATCTGTTAAGGATGTTTTAACGTTACAAGTTTCAATTTAATTGGATCAAAGAGAAAGCTCTCGCTAAGCCGCAATTTCTAGTACGCAGTCACAAATAATTGAATTAAGTGAGCACAAAGGGAGCTATCGGGAATACAACGAATGTGTAACTCTGTAGTTGTTTAGGCTCGGGAAATAGTCGATATTACGCTCCCTAAGTAGTACACCGTGAAGAAAAACGCAAGAAATGCATGTACGCTCACTTATATGTGTGCCGCTTTACTGTCGTGTGGGTTAGTTAGTCCATCCATGTATAATGCGATGTTATCATATCAAATAATTAACTAATTTGTTTCTGTGTATTAAATGGCTAAATCGATTGAATTTTCTAAGTAGTTTTTGAGTGATCGAAAAATCATTACTCTTTGACGTTTTTATTTTTAAAAAAAAATATTTCGAACCCCATGCACGCTACTTATGCAAAAATTAAGAAATGATATATCTCATTAAACAATTAATTTTGTTGATCAATGTGACTCGAAAATAAAAAAAAATCGACTAAAGTTGTTCCGCGATCATGGACTCTGTCGTTTTCGAAAGGTTGTTATTTAAAAACAAAATTAAACGCGATAATATACGTAAAATACTTTTATTTAACTTTAAACACGTATGTCAATATATTGTTGCAGTCGAACACCCAAAAGTCGTTAAAAAATAGATACACATATAAAAATTTTACACCAATGACAGGGGTTTATTTCAATTATTTTGTCAATGAAACAACGGCGAACACACGCTGTTTTATAAAAGTTCAGTGTGATATTGATTGACCGGACGGACGATGACCAGTTTCATTACTAACCGAGTTATGTTAACTGGGGTCGTTTACTCCAATAGAAGCCTTAAAACTTTAATGCTGTGTTTATTATCCAATGTTTGTTTTATTTTCATTAAAAATAATACAGGATAATTTGGATGTACTATATTTCTAATGACGTTTTACATAATATTTTGTTATATGTTATCCAATTCCTTCAAGATAAGTTTGAGCAATTTATTGACATGTCTTTATTATTATATGATGATGATGTTTTTTTATAATAACGCGTTTCAAATTACTATTTCATGATTATATTCGCGTTTAATTATGTTTTAAATTCCCGTTTCGACTTTTCCAGCATCTATGGCATAATAACATTTCAGTTTGTCATATAATTGCGAATGACAGTTTTTAGCGTTTGAATATCGGGAATCCAAAACAGAATGATACGGGACGAAATAAAAATAAAACGGAAAGCATCAAGAAAGTTTGCATCACCTAATTCTTTATATCCTTAACTCAGTTCATGAAACTCAACTTTCGTTAAAACGCAGATAAGCGAATAAATTCCATCAGATTGGACTGTTGAGATGAGTTATTAATTTTGTTGCCGTAAAAGGTAAATCGTCTGGAACCGATTCGGAAGATGTATCCGCGACTTCCTCTCTAAAATAAATTTACACCCGTCCCAGTCGTTTTAAACTTGGCAGAGCACCAAATGCAAATGACCCTTGCTCGTGTCGACACGGAACCCCTTGTAGGATCAGGAAAAAAGAGCGAAACACTAGATACATTAACATCGCAAGTTGAAAATCGAAATGTATGAAAAAAGATATACAATAATAATTGTATTGCACTCTTATTTTTTCTCCATTTAACTGTCTGGTTAAAGTAGCAGCCTATATATATGTTCCACTGCTGGACAAAGGCCTTCTCTGTACAGAGTGTTATAGGGCGTAGTCCACCACGACACTGCAGATGGCAGTGCTATTAGATAAATAATTTGATTCCGCAAGAACTTCGACCATTAGACCATTACTGACAGAAATCGTATCTTTAAATCGCACTGCGTCTTTTTAACATTACGTTGTAACCGTGAATTTCTATGAGTAATCAGTGACTTACCAAGTAGGGCATTAATTAACGGTTCATTCAGTAGGCAGAAACTAATATTTTTAAGAGATCCGATCGCGTCAAAGCTTTGAGACTTTATTAATTAATAATATATTTAAAAAAAATAAACAATTATTTAACACATATTAAAGATATTGGTTAGTTTACATATTATTATTACAGAATTTGTACCATCAAAAAATTATCTGGCCTCGCATTGATTACAGCGTTATCCTTTAGTAGAAAGTCGAAACATATTGGAATGTTTCTAATAAATCTGAAAATATTCTACGAAATTCAATTCTACTGTGCTATAGCCACGACGCAGCTTCACTGTTGCACTAAAGGGCAAGCTTGTCAGAGGAACTACCACGGCCTTACAGAAAACCGGAGTGAAGTGAAATTATTATACTTTCGAGTTACGTCTGGTGAGTGAGATAGTCAGGGCCCCCTTTTTATTAGGCAGCGTAATAGCAACCCTCACATGTCATACATGTAATCCCTTAACATCAGGCGAACCGTCTGGTCGCTTGTCAACTTTTCATATAAAAAAGATTTGTCCTAACGCCATAATATCAACGGGAATATATTGTGACACGTGGCTTACCAAGTCGATGCGATAATCCGATGGTCTTATTTTCGGGATCGTAGAAGGTCAGGATCTCGTGCTTCGTCTCCTGAACCAGGACGTTCAGCCACACGCTCAGGTTAGTGCCAACCATATGCATCAGTCCAAACCGAGCCACTATCTTGTGCTTGTAAACTTTCATCTGGAATTATGTTAAACATTATTTAAGTTTAAGATTAAATTTTATTGTGAAATTTCCTACGCAACAGTTTCCGCCTTTATTTTGGCTTTTCGTCTGGGTAGTTTGGTATCCGGGGCCTACCTGGTTTAATGATGGGCAGATGCATTGTCAAAGTTTTAACTGGTTACTTAATTTTATAAAATGTGTAATTATATTAATCAGTGGCAGTTAGCACACAAAGTTATTAGATTGTACTCAATTGTATGATATATGAAAATTATAATGAGTTTAAAACATTGCAATAGCTTATAAATAGCAAACCATGTTACATACATGACCTCGGTTCGGATTCCCGTATTTCAAGTAAAAGTACTGATGCTATTCTTGAGGTCATGACAAGAACAATCACATCACTTTCAACGCACCTCGTTATTCAGAAAGATGAAGTACATTTGTATGAATATGAACGCCATCCTTGTGGCAGGCGTTAAAGCGAGCAGCACGTTGTGGCAGTTTGTGTTCCTCTCCAGTTCCCAGTACTGGCCAAACTCCAGTCCCGAATAGATCATCGAACCTATGCCGAAGGCTGTGGAGGAAAACTTTCAATGACTTCCTGATCATAAGCTGAGAGCAGACACGGTACATGTTTAATTGTTGTCTGTATCTCGACATTTCAAATATTATATCGTTCATGGTCTCGAGGAGTTACAAAATGCGTAATATCATTTGAATTGTGTTTTATATTGGAGTAAATAAAAACAAAGATAACGCCATAAACGTAACTATTTTTACGGATTATGTTATTATATTACGATATTCCGTACAAATATTTTACCACTATCCACACATATGTATATTTTCATTGATTATGTAATAAATCTAACTTTGAGCTTTGTACATACAAGTATTTTTCCGCACATGTAAAAATTACTAGAAAAAAATAATACCAACAACCCATAATCGATTAACGTATTGGAGCAGTTCCATTTTGTAAATAACAAATGAAACGTACGAGAGTTTATTAACTCATGCTTCACTTCATGGTCAATTTAATCAAATTATCAGCTGCATATGTTGTTTTAATGTGTTTAAGTTTGAACGCCTTCAGGCGGAGTTTTCCCCAAGAAAAACGCTGGTTAGCCAGGGGATTAAAAGTAATCCAAAACTAATACTCTTTAATGCTGCTATTCCAATTATATTATTATTGAAGTTTTCTATAAAAAGATCATACTACAAACATATGAGTACACTTAAAACGTAAACCATAGTTATTTTGTATTTACCAGCCACGACATATTTCATTCGGAAATTAACAAGCACCAGATTTCATTCGGCAATTAAGTAAGGCACACATCGAGAAGTTTCGAGGAGTAATCTTATTAGTTGTTTACTACTCAAATGGATTTCCTCTGACGAGCAACTATCGTCGAAAGTCGTTACGAACTTTTGAGTTAAAATATAAGGTAAACAGGCCGGCCAGATTGTAGAAGTTAACTTTAGCAAAAGCTAGTCCCAAACTAAGCAACGCTTATACTATGGGTACTAGATAACTGATAAACATATTTAAACATTCTTTTCTTTTGTAAATAAATACATTATAATACACCCAGACACTGGAAAAACACTTTAATATTTTTCCAGTGGTGGGGATCGAACCCACACCCTCTGACGCAGGAGGCAGGTACAATACTCACTACTAGCGTTCGGGTCGTCTAGGACATAGTTTTCAGGATATCAATCGTGACAGATGGAGGCAGTACTGTCCGTTTTTTCCAGAGCTAACAAAATAATGAACGTATAAATTAGCTAATATCACACAAATGTGTGATATATTACAACTAGATCACCTTCAGCCTGAACAAACTTTTTCTCTACCACCGAGCACTTGATAAATTGTAATTTATAATTTGCATACAGCCGACTTAAAGCCGTGATAGCTCAGTGTCCGGGCGCTCGCCTTTAATTCAATATACTCGAGCAACCTGAGTTCGATCCCCGGTGCCGGCACCAATGAAGTTTTTAACTTTAAGTGCTGACTTATCACGTGCTCCGCGGTGAAGGAAAACATCGTGAGGAAACCTGCATATTTTCGAAATAATAACAAAAAAAAAATATATTTCGAAAATATGTGAAGTCCGCCAATCCGCAGTGGGGACGCGTGGTGGACTATGCCCTGATACCCTCTATATAGGAGGCCTTTGCCCAGCAGTGGGACATGTATAGGCTGTTACTTTTTTACTTTTATACGGCCGACAATGGTGTCTGAACGCTGGTTGCTCTAGAATACTGAATCATAAGCGAGCGCTCGGACTCTGAGCTTCTAAATAGTCTAATGCTTGAAGAATACCCACTATTCTGAATAGTGTGTATATTACATAATTTAAAAAGTATAAGGCAACACATAAACATTTTTGTCGTAATCCGGCAATTTTGCATGAAAACCCTTTAATGTACACCTGCCATATATATACATTCATAAATGTTACATTTACATAAATTTATACAAATATTTTATTGGCCGCAATGAAACATAAAAACGTTACTCCGTAAAATGCCAGATAAAGTATTACGGTGGATAATTTACGTGGCAAACTCGTAGCGTCGTAAATTTAAAGTACGGAAAAGAAAAAGACGAGACGCACGGCCCGTCTTAAGGGAATGTGATTACATATAAATCGTGCATGTTTTTTATACCACTTTTTAACTTTTCTTCTTCTTTTTAAATATCAGTTCATACTCCATATATTTAAAGCTAAACATTATACTAAAAATTATGCCTATACCTATCGAATCCACCATTAAATAAGATAGCACCTAATTATATTAGAATCATCTCGATCACGTCAGCTTTCAAACATTCAAACCTCACCATAATCGGTCCATTCGTTTAGAACCTACGATGCCACAGACAGACACAAAAATACACAGACAGTCGCGTCAAACATATAACTCCTTCCATTTTACATCGGGGGTTAAAAATGACACAGTCTCATATCAATGTCCTAAAAATACTACAATACACTACAATATTAAAATATATTAAAACTAACGTACCGGACAGACGTCCTGTACACATGACTTAAATCCAAAAACAACTTAAAAAAACTGAATCTAAACCATTCTCCAATCGACCTGAAGACACACAAAAAACTTCATTAAAATCGGTCCAGCCGTTTAGGAGGAGTTCAGCGACATACACACGTACAGAAGAATTAATATATGTAAAGATAAGTGATGAAATTCCTTTCCTATCGATAGACGTATAAATGGATTGGCTGAAAGATGCAACTTTTCAATGAACATACCGACAGCGCCCATCCTCAGGTAGAAACTGCCGTAATGGTGGGTGCGGCTTGCGAGAGCGAAGCCCAGGGAGAGACGCTTAGCGGCCAGGTGTGGTGGTAAGTGAGCCGCAGTCGCCGTACTCCGCTCCGTGTGCGATGAGCAGGAATCGGACTCCGAAGGAGACGAGCTGGACTCCGATTCTGCGGAAAGGAGGACTGTCAGGCGCCTCATCATCATCATTTCAGCCTGTTTTTGAGCCTTTTTATGATAACAACCCCTGGGAATGAGATGATCGCTCCGAAGCTATTTCTAAACAAATGTGTACTGTATTACAATGTAATGGAAAAAATTACAAAAAAGAGAATATATACGGAGTTTCTTTCGCCTGTTTCTTCTCAGTTAGAGGAACCTCATTACGAAACGGTAGCAGATTAAAAAAATGATTATCGATAGATGAAATGTGATATTTTTCTTGAATGAATGATATATTTCTTACTTCGATGAATAAATGATTTGATTTGACTGTACTGCCACACACATTTGAGTCCACTGCTGAACATAGGCTGCCACAAAGTACGATATTGAGCCACCTGCATACATCTACTTCCCGCACATTTGCGCAGGTCGTCACTCCATTTAATGGCGGTTCGTCCTACCTTTCTTCCTCATCGGTTATCGGTTCTACGAGCTATGTGGCCAACCTATCGCCACTTCAGCTTGCTAATCTTCTGAGCTATGGCGTCTATACCAGGCCCGGTTTACCCGGTACGTAATCTCGTACGAGCAAGTAGTCACACAAGTTTCGCTCGTGTCTAGCATTTTTTTTATTTGTTGTAGGGCCACGCAACAGTCTTCGCTGTTGCACGAATGGGCAGGTCCATTCGTGGTAATACCATGATGACATTAGAGTCATCATGGTATTACCACGAACGAGAGTTAGAAGTCTGGCGTAAAGTGGAAGTCTTATCTTCTTTTTTTCTGGCGTTCTTAGGCGTTTTGTCTGGTGAGTGTGGTGACCGGGGCCACTATTTAAAGTTGGCAACGCATCTGCAACGCTACGGGTGTTACAAACGTCCATGGACGGCGGTGGATGGATCAATTAACATCAAGAGAACTGTCAGCTTGATTGCCAACTTCTTATAAAAAAACCATCGCTGCCCGCGACTACGTCTGCGTAGAGGGGTGAAAATTTAGGGTTGTATGCATTTTTGTATGCTGTATCATAAAATAATAAAAACATAAAATTTTATATAAAAATTAAACAAACATTTGGGGGTGGACCACCCTTAACATTTAGGGGGAAAAATAGATGTTGTCCGATTTTCCACCCTGGCCGATATGCACACAAAATTTCCCCAAAATCGGTCGAGCCGTTTCGGAGGAGTTCAATTACAAACACCGTGTCACGAGAATTTTACATTTTATAAAATTTGATGTTTATATCAAGCTATCCACACGTGTTTTAAAAAAATATTTCGAAGATACGTGAAGTCTGCGCGGTGGACTATGCCCTAATACACTTTGTACAAAAGAGACCCAGAAGTGGGACATATATAGGCAGTTACTTTACAACCTACTTATTTCCACTTTTGCAAAATAAGGTGTGTGTATATTTCATCATATTGCGTATAGCCATTGCATATTTAAATGTTCACCGCCCGGCCCTCTCGATTAGACTTTATTTAGATATTTAGACAGAATAGGAGACGTATTATTTAGCTATGTTCTGGCCATGCCCTATTCACGAGCAATACATTAAAAAAGCATAAATTAAATGAAACTATCGAAAACTAACAATACCGAATGGCTACCTGAGACCGTATACCGACAAATGATAACCAAGCCCATGCCTTAATTACAACCAGTAAACATCAAAGAGACATTAAAAACAGTTTTCAATAATTATAAAATCAAGCATCAATACTGTACATTTTTCCTGAACAGAATTTGATTTCAATGCGAGTATATCCCGCCCTTCGTCAGTCATATTTCGCCCTCTGGGTCTTCCAGCTCATTTAAATAACAAATGTGTGAGCATTGAATATAAAAAATCACTTTCTACTATTTCCACGTGGACTCTAGGGACGCGTTCAGATGTAATCAGGAAAATATATGAAATAATGCAATATGGGTAAGGCTATGGGAGCTTTGACGCCAATAAAACGATATTTTAGACATTATTATACAAAATAAATGACGTTAAGCATTTCTGCCCTAGAAATGCCTATAGAACTAAAATTTTAGTCCTTATTAAATAAAACAAAATGTTTGATTTAGCCTTAGTTAAAACTTGCTTTACTCTTGTTTAGTTCGTATTTATTCATAACTAGTTGGATGCACATACCTATTTAACAAATTTTTTATGCTATTATTTCAGACCAATATTCATATGTAACATTGATATAAAAAAAATGAGGAAGGAAAACATTACTTTCATGTTGAATATAGTATATATATATATATATATATATATATATATATAGTTTATTACATTTGACGTGTTCATTAGAACCTGTAATATGTTATTTAGTATTCCTACAACTGTAAGCAATCAAAACTCATTTAAGGTGTTCAAAAGCAAAAACAAACTGTTTATTTCTTAAAAATTAAGGGAAGACCCACGAGATGTAAGAAGTCCAACATTATGCATGATGAAAAATAGAAGAAAAGTGAAAAAAATTTGTTTAACGTTCTGTAATGCTCACCACTTGTTGTCTGCTCGTTAACACTCCAGCGAAAGAAAAATTTTCACAAACATTTGCAACTAGAAAATAAAAAAATGCTTCCTCAAATATCACGGATCTTAAAATGTTTGAAAATGTAAAGAAAACCTTTAATTTATTTCAAATTTAAATTCTCAAAACAACTTTTAGGCATAATTTTACCGGAGCAAAATTAATTACAAGCAAAGGACGTCTTAAAAAATTCGGGTTCCTTTAAAGAAACGCGCGCTAACACTTGTTATTACTAATTAGATTTCTGTCTGAGACTCATTAATGTGTAAAAATAAAAAATAAAATCATAAGGAAAAATAATTTTAGTAACCTATTCTTTCAGGATTTGGACATTTAAAAAAGAACTATTTTACTAGTAAATATAACTGCTCGTGACAGTATAATTCATTATGTGCTAACAAAGATATATAAGAATATTAAAATTAAAAAAAGTACAGATAACTCTCATTTCAATAAAATATATATAATATATATCTTACCCTTCAGTTCCTTCCTTATTTTTTTAACAATTGTAAAGGCTATTTTTCTGATTAGTGCCTTTTGCTAACGTTTTACAAAAGGCACCAATGTCGATAGGTTTCTGGAGGATATTTTTTTGTCAGGTGGGCGGTGGTATTTGGGTTTTATTTATTTATTTATACTTTATGCAAACAAAACATGTACACAGGCGTGTTAATACCATCAGCATTGTCTACCAGTGAACCTTTCAGTGGTCAATTAGGTAGGTAACTAGGTGCATTGATTTTAAAAGTAAAAATGAGAGATCATTGAAAAATCAAATTTATAAGGAATATTACATGAAATACTATATTAGGGATATAAAAAATACTGTATATTGAAATATGTACATACAGTAAAAAAATATATTTAAATACACAATACATTTATAAATAAATATATACACTTAGGGTTATAAAATATGTATTTGTTTCAATATATGTATTCAATAAACTACAAGTCAATTACATCAGTGAGTTTTGTTAATTTCGATCTTCCACAACAAACAATGGGAATAATTTTTTAGGAATAACTTTCACGCGATCTGTTCTTGCTTAGATTCCATGGGAGTTACATGGGAGAGACATTTATTTTCGAGTACATTTGGTTAAATAGATTATTTATTAGCTTTGTTTGTATCAAAATACACGTATTAATTTGTTTTAAAAACACTTCGTCGAAAAATAAGGACTATGTACCTATGTCGTGGCTTATTTCTGCGTACTCTAAAGCCGACCAGTCAATAATATAATTCTTAAGGTTAGGGTGAAAAAAAGGCGGAATCTTTGTCCTGTAGTGCCTTCGTGTTACTTGCACATTACATTTTCGATATTCGTGAGCCCCTACTTAATTAAATGAAACCTTGATTTCCTTTCTTATCAAATAACAGTAGGTTTCAATTTAATACCTTTCTTCGCTCACAAAATTAAAAGCATTAACTTAATTAATAGTATTTTGTGTAGTTTTATAATAACCCCAAAAACATGATTTACGATGATAAATTTTCCATAAATGTTTTTTGTAATATTTTTATTAGATTGCATTGCAGATTTGCAGATAAATTATTCATCATATTTTATTATAAGTTTAATAGATTTTTTGTGTCTGATAACATAAAAGTATTGTCAAACTCTAATATTTAAAGTTAAAACAAGTTGTTTAAAAAAGTAAAGAATTTATTTGCTACTGCTACAACTATTACTAGATTGAAATAATATTACGTTACTTATATGATAAAAAAATCAATAATTTATTCAATTTCGTCATTAAAAAAATTTATTGAAGAATATACAAAAAAAAACGATGGAATAATTCACAAACACATATTTTTATTCAGGTTGTCGACTATAAATGAAGTTTATGAAATCAAATAAAATAAGTCAAGGGATTACGTCGAAGGTTTTGAGAAAAACGTTTACTTGTTTTGGATTCGGCTCGGTCCTCAAAAGTTTGTGAGTCTACGATTGGATCACGGACGTGACTCACAAGCTGATCAAATCAGCTACATTGGAATAAACCGCTTGTCGTGTTGTCAACCCAACTTTATTTCTTTTATCCCAGCAGTGTTTCTTCTAAGATCTGATTAACTTTAGAACTAATAGAGCATTGGTTCTAAAGTTAATTGATTGCGACCGCATATATGCAGCAGAACTATATTTAAATTATATTACATTTGTTTGATCTAATCTCCGCAAACTTTTATTGCGACAGAAATCTACAACACAAAATAGAGTTCATATACGTTTTTTTTTTTTCAGGTTACAAATCTTTAATTATGTGCTTTATGTTATTTTTAATTATATCTTTTTGTATAAATGTTTAAATACTGGCAAAAAAACATAATTTTATTTGCAAAAAACAAAACCGCCTTCAAATATCTGTCTGTATCTTCAAAACCCAAGTTCTAGTGACAATGAAAATAAGAACATCTCCTTTCCGACAAAAAAAGAATTTTCCAAAGGAATTCTGAGGCCTTTAGCAAACAAAAAAATCATAACCGAATTGACAACCTCCTTCTTTTTGAAATCGGTTAATACCCGTTGTCTTACGACGGTCGTTCATTACGTTGGTTTTATACATTAATAAACGCTGCACATAAGCAAACATTTTACTCACTGTAACTTAATTTTAAATGTATAATAAGTGAAAAAATCTTCAATATTTAGTTAATTATATAAATGTATGCCATACATGTATTATTTTCTGCCGTACGGATACAAAATATTAATAATTTTGTAGGATAAGTGAATTATTACACTTCGAAACACTTTAAAATTGTGCCTTCTACTACTATCTCTTTACCAACATCGGTTAAGAAGCTGTACCAAGCAGTATCATTATTCAATATAATAGATAAAGTGTTATATGTGTTATGATATGCTTGACGTCACTAATAAATCGCTTTTAATAAACAATTGCGCATAATACATAATGTGTATACTCACTGGCTACAACTTTGGTGTCAGCTGCCGATCTGGACCGGTCTCGCAAAAGTGCCGCGTACATGTACAGAAGAAAAACCATGCTTCCGATGTAAAGGTACAGGTAGAAACCCTGGCAACAAAATAGCAGTAAATAACCGATAAAGGAAATAAAAACTTTTTGGATAAAGTTCGATATTTGCCAATTACATCAACGAAAATTTTAATTGATGTGTAAGTGTCACCATATAGTATGAATATTCATTACATTTTTTGCATTGTATTTACTGGTTTGGTCACAAATCGCACGACTTAATTTATAACATAATTATTATAGGTAGCCTATAAAATAGTATATTAAGGTCAATTTAATAGGTATAACAATTTGACAAAATTATCTTATTAAAAATCTGCATCTTAAAAAACATTATTAAAAATTATTGTAATTAATAGTTAAGTCCTGCCATGTGTTACAATGTCCCTCTATTTATTTACCAAATATTTTCGAACGTGCGAACAGCAGTTTTCAAAACTTTCATCGAATGCATTGGGTAGCATTGGGTAGAAATTGACAGAGGAGAAACAAGGAAACATTCATTATGTATATGGAAGGAAGATCGAAGACGAACCTCGTAAAAAGAGGGTGGAATGTAAGTGGATATAACTTCGGCCATCGGAAAAGCGACCCCCATAACGACCAGTAGCTTCCCGTAGAGAGCAGACAGAGTTGTCGCCAGCGCGTCGCTCCTGAAAGAAAAACATATATAAATAACAAAAAACGCTTAATGGACTTATAATTTCTTCGAAAAATAACGTATGAATTCGGTTCCTGTTTACCTAGATTTAATTCTGTGAAGTTATAGTCTCTTCATATTATGAACATTACACACCTTTACCTATAAATGCTGTATTGTTCGAAACATGAATTATAAGGTAAATATTCAATAAAAATTACAAAGTTTCATTTATTAATAACTAACATATTATTCCCTAGATAATTTACAAACAAAATATATAGATAATAAATTACACTTATATAACCACGCGGGTGCCTCCTACAGCACAATTTCCTCAAAGCGTTGATGCGTCAAAATCGTCGTGAATATATTCGCTTTAACGCTTTAATGTTGAAAATAATGAAACACTATTATTATTAATAACATATACGAGTACCCAGATCGATGAGGGAGGTTTCACTTCATGACACTTACGACTTACACGCTTTACTACCGTTACCCTTTCATCATCGGTTCAGAAGATTCATATTGCTTTGTTCCCGGCTCGTCGAAGAGAAAGCGTAGCTGTGCTTACGAAACAAGACTACAAAAACAACGGACTATTTAAGGACGATTTTTGTATAAATATTTTTTTATTTACGAGTTTTTAATTACGGCGTCCATGGCCTGTTCAATGCCTCCAATGACTAAAACCTAAATAAAATATCTTTTCGCGATAAAATCCGTAAAATAGTGTTGTTTAACAATATCTGTTCCCATTTTCTTAATATTTTTGCGTGTTCTTTGTAATTTAAAAATAAAATAATAAATGTTCTAGAGACGTTTGATAATAGTATTGGGATTTAAGTTAGTCTAAGACATATTATTTAAAGGTTATTTTATTAAAGACCATACAAAAACATTATTAACGAAATATAGTGTAAGCTTAAATTATAACAGCAGCATGTCTAATTTTTACCAAGAACATCCAACTAAGTCTTTTAATATGAATTATAAAAATTTTACTTCCATATTATATTCTACTCGTATATGTATGTAAAAAGAAGTTTACATAGAATTTTCATAGAATTTTCCGTTTTTTAAACGGTTTTATTTAGCTCGACCCGTACGGAATTTATTTGTTTATTTATAGGGTCAAAATAAGAAATTGAAATTTAAGCACCTTCCCGTTGTCAGATTGATCTGAAATTTGGTACACACATTTAATTTAGATGACAATACAATATTGTAGTTTTCAGTGAACATAAAATAAAACCGTTTAACTTAAAAGTTTTTAAACGGTTTTATTGAATACCATATTTAATGGACTCGGAACCGGCCATATCGATTCAAAAGTGTCTAGTGAATAAAACATTATCCGTAACTTTTTGCTTTTGTAAATATTAATTGATACGTCATCGTACCGCAAAAAAATACGAAAAATAAATAACGTTTTCTCTAAAAAAAATAATTTCATAATTTCGTTCGTCCCTCAACGTTTCGCGGAATATTTTCCTACGAGGAATATTTACCTACTTAAACCCGCCTCGTTCCAACATTTTGCATGAAATTATTTTTTAAGGACCCTAAGCGTGCTCAAGCCATCCCTTTTTTAGTTGAAGATAGGCCGAGGCTAATCTTTTTAGTGCTTTTTTACGTACATGGCAACGCTATATAGAAACTTATACGCCTCTATTGTCGTGCACATTCTTATGATTGAAATTTCATATACGAGTACTTGTAAAAATACATATATTTATCCTCTTTGGAAACTGTTGGTTCCGATTATATAGGTTTATGAACTCGATTAGCCCCTTATATACATATTATTCACGTATAAAAAAATATTTAATCGGTTTCGTATTTTTAGGGGTTCTTTAAAAGCAATTTATCTATCCATCGAAGCGTTGCCTACAAACGTTCACAAATTGAATCGAACTGAATTGTTGCGGATTTAGGTAGGCTTTGACGTATTATACCGATTACACTGAGGCCATCAACGTCGGAATTACACTGGGAGGGAATCGATCAACTCGGCCATAATCTACCGCTGACAGATCGCTATCCATACGGAACATCATAACGTAACGTCAGTTCCGTCAAGGACAAATGATGAAACGTGACCAGACATCGTCGACCCTTTTGTTGGTTATAAATCGATTACATTCTCATATACATTCGGAGTACTTTTGCCTTAACGCGTGTCACAATAGTCTGGTTCCTAAAAGCTCTTAGCACTCCCTCAGGGGAAAAGGCCCCTTCACGTCTTCGCTCCGTTGTCATGGCAACGGCGTGTTATTGGCTCCCCACGGCTATTGTAAGGATACTTCTGTTGTATATGCAACCAAGGTGGAAACTGGGGTTTCGACAATGATATGCCACTGTTCTCCGCTTGCTTCATTATGACGTCACTTGAAACGAAGATCCTTGACGGTTGTGAAAATGTGTATTTCTTTTTTATTTTGATCCTCTTCAGAACTTAAAAAAAGAACTGACGAAAGAAGGTTTCGGGTATAAAATTTATGGCATTTTGAAATATAGGAAGTCGTGTAATTCTTTCTCTTCGTGGATAAAATACCATCATTGAATAATCGGAATTGTATTTCACTTCATAATCATTTAAAAATTGCATGTTAGTTATTCTTAATCAACATTGCATACAAGATAAGGGTATGAGAAAAATGTTTCTAAGGTTGAAACATTTTTAAAATACAAATTCATTTAAACCAATTATAACATATACTCGTATTCACAAGACAACATTTAAAGATATAGATTTGGTCCTACTCGTATAGTACAGCCAAAGTAAAACAAATCAGTGCCTAAGACCATGACTACTCTACAAAGCAATTACTAATGCCTAAAGCCGAAGGCGGGACGAAATAATTACTAAACTTTCCCTTCGAGGCCGCATTCACTGGATTTATGGTTGCCATTAGTTAAACAATGCGAAGAACTGGATTTGTCTTGTCCTATTGTCTTTGTTGTGAACTACATTAACAATTCTGTTTCTGTTTAGTTATAATCAAATTAGAATATCTATAATTACTGATTTTGGATTGTTATTTGACGGTATGGGAAACATTTTGAGTGATTACCGCCGCCCATGGGCATTTACATTCATTCGAACAGGCGTTTCTAAACTTTGAGAGACTGGCACAACCCCCCCCCCCCCCCCCCCCAACTCTCTTTTTCATGCACTTTCACCGTAAGAACCATCCTCGTACTTCAATATTATAAAAAATAATTAGCGAAATCGGTTCAGCAGATCTCGAGATTTGCGCTTAGCAACACATTCAGCGATTCATTTATATATATAGAGATTGCAATGGCTTCTTAGACGATACGTCCGTATCCATTAAAAAAAATATGATTAAATTGTTGATGTTGCAATTTAATTTAAGAAAAATCAACGCCGGTACATTTATTTATAACGCCGGTATATTTAGGGTAATGGTTTCAAACGATTTAGTTATAATTTGAAGTAATGTATCAGTGCTACTTAATTTATTACTGCGTAAAATCCTTCACAGCAATAAATTAGATGGTACATTATAGTCAGAGTACTAATCGCCATGTTAATTAATTCGCTCCAGACTACACCGTGCTCCTTGCCGCGGTTTTGTCTCAAAATGTCTCCACGAAGATGACAGTAATCCGTGAAAATTCGTAGCGACGTTCAGACTCTTTGTAAGAGTTTAATTCAGGAACCTCCATTCGTAAAGGCTAGCGAACAAAACAATTCATAATGCTTTCTCTTCAGTTAACCTAAATGTGAAATAACAAATACGAGATACGGTAGCATTGTGGCACGAATCCTGCAAAACTGCTAGCAGTCTGCTTTGAAAGTGCTGCATTTTCTATTAGCCTGCTCTGCTGCGGTTTATTTGCGTGTGCCTCCGTAATTCTTTGTTAAAAACTGTGTATTATCTCGCACCGGCTTATCTGTGTGAGGTATGTATCACGTTGTTTTTTGTTCCCGCCACTTAATACAGGTATCCAAGATGGCGGGCCGCCTAGTGTTGTTGTTAATATAAGCACTAGACTATATTGTGTCGAAACATAGTACTTTTTATTAGAGTACACGTTCGTTGAAAACATGTACTTTTCAAAGTTGCTTGATGCGAACGGAAATAAGAGGGATTAGAAAAACATTGAAACTAACTTCGAAGTTAATCAGTTCGAAATATACGAATACAAAACTCAGACGTTCTAATATTCTACAGACAATTGTCTAAGAATTTTAACTAAAAATGCTACCCGAAAAAAACTATTATCGTAATTTATTGAAAAAAGTAGATTGCCATAAGATATAACAACAATACCTATATAAAAACTTAATAAAACTTTGAGAAAAGCAATTTTAACATCAAAACGAATGACCTTAATCAATTCAAAACTAGATTAATTGCCATATTTGCCATTTTCAAACCACAACTATTTCACTTACTTGCAATAATAACTTTCATATGTTGTTACTCTCTAATATAATGCACTATCCACCAATGCTGTCACATAATTATTACTATTTATTATCATGTAAAGTCTGTACATTTAATTTATAGATTCTACATAAAAAATTAAAAGTCAAAAAACTTAACCATACGGTGTCTTGTAACTTATTTCTATTTCGTTATTCCTTTCGTACCCTAAAGTTTTATATAAATTTTTGAACGTGGCAATTAAAAAAGGGACGAGTTTGCAATGAGGTCGCAGTCTATGCTATGGTAAATAGCCAAAGTCGATTATGTGAACCCGCAAGTTTGCTCAAGGGAAAGCTATGGTCAGATTTTCGGCTCGTGAGTTTCACTTTTTGTGGTAATTTATTACAACTTAACCATGTAGTGTAGTGGTCAAAGCTTATAACGTACTATGATTAACTTATGCTTTTAATATAACAATTACTGGATACGGTAACGTACTAAAACATTGGCGACAAGAATTTCCTGTGACTTCGAAAGTCTGCCGTCATGCATTTTTGTTTTTAAAACGCACTAAAATTAACATTCCTTTTAATGTAACATTTCCTAGATATGGTAATGTACTATAACAGTGGTGTTAGGAATTTCCTTATGTGTCTATTACGTTTAGGCTACGAGAGTCGAGTTGATGAATTGTTCGAACTTTAAAAGTCTGCCGTCATGATGTGTTTTTTTTTTTTCTTTTTGCTCAACCCGTGTCTCGACTGGGTATCCGTCCGTGAGCACTCCCAATATCCGTGCCCATTGATTTGGAGTGCAATGTAATGCCATTTCCTAACCTTTTATCGTAACTGGCGAAACTCATATATTCGACAAATACGTACGACGTATATCGAAATAATTAAAGAAAAAATAATAATTCAAAAACACGTTTAATTATTCATTTTACTTATTTTATTAATCTTATAGTAGATTTATTATGAGATGTATATTCATCGTCTCATTGCTACTCAGCCGTCGTTACACTTTACTTCGATCAATTATTAAATTTAATTAAAAATTTAAGTTAATAAAAATATAAGTATGCATCACATTTTACAATCATAAATACCAGAGGACCAAAGGAGTGTAATATAAAATCTTATATGACTTTGGTCACATCCTACAATTCATATTTTCTTATTCTTTATCTTATTATTTATTTCCTTATGATTTAACATTTATTTAAAGATAGAGGCAATTTCTTAAAGATAAATTCCACAAGCAATAGTGCATATAATAAAAACTTGAACCTTAACAAGTACAACATTTTTATTAACTAATCAACTTCAAATATCTCACAGATTACAATTTTTACGTTCGATTTTTAGAAGTTCCCTGATGCATCACGGTGCCTAAGGTCCAACCAATGAAATTATGATATGATTTAATTATTTTATGTATAATATATATGATAACACATGGAAACAATGTAAAAATTATTTTTAAAGTCGGTTCATAAATGACGGAGTTCTGAGACAAAATACAACCGAATTAAAAACCTCTCTCTTTTTTGAAGTCGATTGTAAATATAAAAAATATGTTTTATTTTTTAGCGTATTTTAAAAAAGCCCTTTCGGCTAAGACAACACTTTTTTTCCTCGATAGTACTAAAGTTAATAACATGAAATCTGCTTGAGGAAATATAATACTGTTGAATTTATTACGTCTGCCCCTTCGTTGGCAAGCTTCCAAATATATCCGAGAGTAGAAATCCACTACATGGGTCATTTACATTAAGTTTTGTGTAAAATATTACCCTCTTAGTCGAGCCGAAGGTTAATTGGATCCAAAGTTATTTAACGTAAAAACGATTAACGCCTTACTCCTAATCCATCTTTATCTTTTGTTAGATAGGAAGAAAGAACAATGCTCATGTCAAGCTTAGCTAAGTATACAAATTATCACAATTTCCAAAGAAAAACGAAAGAAAAAATATATTTTTGACATTTCTTTAGGCTTATTCTACGTCAAGAGTAAACGTATTACCATCTCAACTACCCTTTTATTTACTGAAAAAAAAATATCAAAATTCAGCTTAGTTAATTGTATACAAATTATCACAATGTCAAGAAAAAAAACGCAAGAAAAAATTTTTTTTGATATTTCTTTAGGATTATTCTACGTCAAGGGTATTTAATTTTACCATCTCAACTTCCCTTTTATTTACGACGTTCTATTTTAAACGCTGATACTTGACTTTATTCGATTCTTGTTTCTGAGGTTTGTTCATTATTTTACGTTCTATAGAAGTAAGTATGCATGTAATAATTAGTGTTTCGCCCGGTTTCTGAAACACTGATCACCGTAGAAGTTAACTAATCAGCTATCAAATGGCTTTTCAAATGTTATTTGAGTTGCCAAAAGGATTGTTAAACTCTTTGAATTGATCAGAATAATGTTCTTAATGATCAGTGTTTCAGAAACCGGGCGTATGTATAATTTATTAATTAATTAAAAATATCAGTATAATTAAATAAATTAATCGTTCCGCATGTTGTTTTCAGAGTTCGCACGACTGATTAGTACGGATTTAACACTCAATTTATAGTCACAATGACAAATTGACAATCATCAAATGTCTAAGCAGTGATGTAAGGGCTGTTGGTTTCAAGGAATTCAAAGTAAGAAAGACATTTTAGATCATAGCTAGATAAGTATTACTAATTTAAAATAAACTTCAAGCGTTAATAATTACAAGCACAATTATTTCTTTATATATTTCGTAACGGCAAATCCTAACCTAAAAATAACATTGATATTTTTTGGACTTCGTAGCGTTGAAATCGTAAAACTGACTATACGACATTATATAATTAACTTACAGGTTCTACTGAACCTACATAAATAAACTTTTATTATCAGGTTTTTAAATGTATGGAAGTATAGGGAAAACATAGTTAATAAGTTAAATAACACATATTAAAACATTTGGATGGAACTACTAATATTTAAATGTTATATAGCATACGATAATCAGTGAATATTCGGCTTTTCATTAAAAAAACCATTTAAAATTATTTCATCTGTTTCAGAGGTTACCCATTATTTACAAAAACACCATCATTCCCACTCCTATACTAATAAATAGGTATACACTGCGCAATGTAAACTAGTACTAGTTGTATAATACATATAATGATAGAAAAAAGAAACCTTGGACAAAGTCCGGTCTAGACAGGAGTTACTCACGCGCTTATAATGTGCATGTTCTGTATAGAGGCGGAGGGCCGTGTGGGGTGCCTCGTTGGAGGTAACGGAGGCTGCTGGGTGGCACCAGGTGCTGCCCCGAAGAGCACCGGCTGCAGAGACAACGAGCCCCCAAGTGACATCGACTGCTGACTCGACAACCTGACAAAGGGACAAGTCGTTACTTATTATGCTGTAAGAGTTTCTGCATTGCCCCCTCCGCATGCAAAAACCAAATTCTTGACACTGATTACATGTAATAAATGGCTGTAAAGCCCTTTAAAGTTGCTAACAACCCGAGAAATAAGAAGTCAATAACACTCTTGGATACTTTATGTATTGCCCATGCCGCATGGAAATAGTAAATTCCGGTTGATCACATGTAATAAATAACTGTAAACGCCTTTAAAGTTGTTAACAATGTATAAATGTAACATCAATTTTCTAATATAGATTAATACATCAATAATGATTGCAATATTTAGCTGAATAAAAAACATCAATAAAAAATCAAAAATAAAAAACATCAATATATTTATTATTTATTACTGTTATGAAAATGCAAATTAATCGCTATAAAATCCGAAAAATAAATATTAAAAAACATTCCGATATTATTAAAGATCTTTTTTGCTTCAATATCTTCAACTACCAGTTTATGTTCGTTAAATGAAATATAAAATATGGATAATATTTCAAGCAAGACGATGCTGAAAGGCAATTCTCGTTTGACATTACCAGCATAAAGTCGCAGTAAAATGGACGCTAATGAAACATAATTTGGAATGCGCGCCCTAGTTCATAACGAAAAGCTATGTTCAATATGCTTTCATTTAAATTCTCTTCTGTAGAAAATTGTATTTTATTTCCGCTCTGTTCTGTTGCATCTTTTGACACTTTTCATTGACAAAATTTAAATACCATAGCGGTGACATTTATTGATATTTGAACCCTTTTAAACGAGTAGCGTACTTAAAAGTACGTATTACTTTAAGCTCTTACTGTCTGGATAGTTGTGGAATCGGATACCAGCTTATAATAATTCCCCGTCCCATAATATCCAAATGCTCTATAGCCGTTATTGTTACGAAACGAACAAAAAGAAGGAAAAAAAGAAATATTGGTAATTTAAGTGATGTTTAAAATAAAATAAGAAGTGGTTATAATGAGAGATTGATGTCGAAATATTTAACAGCTTTTATTAAAGGTGGGCTTTTATTATAGGTTTATATATTATGTATATATATTCGCATAGATATTACAAATTATCAAAATGATATATTGATGTTAATTGAAATGTTTTAAAAAAATACGAAGTGCAATTGAGTAAAGTAAAAATAAATTCTGATATCGAAATCTATATATTAATAGGTACGTGAAGCAAAAACTTTGTACCCCTTTTTACGAAAATTGGTCGGACGGAGGAGTATGAAATCCACACTTATACATTATATAGAGGAGTGCTAATACTTTTATTTTAATTAATTTATTTTTCATGCATATTAAAATAAATTAAATAAATAAAATAGATATTACACATTCAACCATTTATAATTAGTTATGGTCGAATATCGACTACTACGCGCCACTAGTATATAGATTTACATGTTTAATATATTGTTGATAGAACTCAAAGAAACAAAATTTTAACTTCATCTAATAATTACTTAAATTACATTAGCTTCATTTAATTGTTATAAAGAATGTTATTGATTTTGTATCAGCGGCGTTGCCAAACCTCAACAGCACACCTGTTTAATGACATCGCTTGTAACAGGTAATACAAATCGTTAAGCTTACAAGCTAAAGAATTGAATGACAGCACCGAAAAAGGAAATAATTATACCTGCACACATCATTACATTAAAGGTCTGTCCCCGAGACCATGAATATTCCAAACTATTAGAAACGTTTCCGACGTCGAATTTTAATTTCTTACATTTATGCGAATACTACACATTATTAAATTAAAGGTCTGTCCCCGAGACCATGAATATTACAAACTATTAGAAACGTCGGGAATTTCAATCGATTAAAAAAATTAAAAGCATTACAATGGCCAGAAACGGTCGATTAAGTAAGTTAACAAAGTTTTTTTTTTTTTTTTTTTTATAAAAAAAACTACTCTTACTGTAGGATAACATAATCCTGTAAGAACGTATTACGAACATAAATATCACGTGAACAGACACGCCGATCCGAAACAATTAGTGGGTCGTAAAAATCTCTGTCGCGTGAATCGAACTCCTGGCATCGAAGCCTTCCTTGGCAACTGCGCCACGGGATCATTCCAAACGATCTAGTACCTGAGCGGCGACTCCATATGCACGCGATGTGAAGAGCACGACGGCGCCGGCTGGGTATGGGCGGGGAGCGGTGGCGGGCTGCTGTGGCGGCTCAAGGTCTCCGGTGAGACCAGGGCGGCACCCGCGGACGCCGGGCTGGGCAAAGGGGGCGCACTTCCACCGGATATCTCCGACTCGGCGCCCCCGAAGGTGTCCCTCGACACGTGCGAACCGCCCGACATGTTGTTCGCCGGTATTGAATAGCAACTGCGGGGGAAATAACAAAAGATCAGCCAAAGATCCCTGTGCCAACACAAAAATTTCAAAAGTGCTGATTTATCACTTTTATTTTATATGAGAAAGTGGCAAACGAGCTCGCGGTTCACCTGATGTTAAGTGATAGCCGCCGCCCATGGACATTTGCAGCACCCGTAGGGTTGGAAATGCGTCGCCACCTTTAAATAGAAACGTGCCCGCCGTTGAATGAAAACATCGTGAGGAAACCTGTTTCGAAATGATGACAACAAAAAGTTTGTTTCGAAGATACATGAAGTTTACCATTCCGCAGTGGGGTCGCGTAGTAGAGTACGTCCTAATGTTATCTGTACAGAAGAGGGTGTTTCCCAGCAGTGGGACATGTATAGGCTGTTACTCTAAATAACTGAGTGCCAAACGAGCAAGCGGTTGACATGGTGAAACCAAATGATTATCAGAAGCTTTCTCTTACGATGTTGACGTTTAAAATGATAGTTAACTACTAACGGCGACGAAAAGAAGTATAAATAAATTAAAGTATAAAAAAATACTCGAACTCCCCGCTGGTCTTCTATCTGGATGAATTTAGTGGATTTTATTCTGTCTTCCAGTCTTACTGACTGGAAGACAGAATGTACAGCTTGATCCGATACGGCCACGCAAGGCCACATTTTGGGACTCGATTCTTATCGAATCGATGAAATGGATCAAATTCCTTTCGGTCATCTGAATATCGCCTCGTTATAATGACCGACGACAGGACTTTAAAAGCTTTTTAAGGTCTTCAATATTAAACTTCAACATCCTTGACAGACGAGTACCTATTTGCAGTTTAATTATTATACTTTAAAGGGTACGCATAGTTACATTTCTTCATTGATCTCTATCTTTAAAATAACTGCAGAGAGCTTTGATCTTAATTCAAAAATAATATGATATATTTATAAATTATTCTATTTAGGTGTATAAACTGTTAACAAATTCTAATAATTTTCTTTTTTTTTTTTTTTGAGGTTGTTCCATCTATCTGACAAAAAAACAAGAATTATAATTCTTATAAATAATAATTTCAATAAGACATAGCGTTGATTTATGAATGATGTAATCATATACAAGAAAAGAGCTGACTAAAAACAAATTTTTATATAACTATTTCGAAACAAGATAAAAATTATCCTTTTTAGGCCAAATTTAGGTCTAAATAAATATTTCATTGTCGATATTTTTTGGCCCGTTTTACCCTTTGGGTATGGAACCCTAAAGTGGAGGGCATGAAGTAAAAGGATACTTTTGTTTTCACTCTGATTAGTTGCCGATAGTCACCATTTAGCATGAGATAAATCATTTAATCAAAATTAACAATTGGAAAAAATATAAAATGTTCCATTTTCAAATTTACATATTCTAACATTTCGTTTTCCATACATGTTAAATGACAATGATATATTTTTCATTTCGAACAAGTCCAAAAGGAAAGCTCTTAATATCATTTATCTTCGATACGTTTGTAAAAGGCTATTGATCAACGGGAACGATTTTCATAAGACGTCAATCCACATCGATTATAATGATTAAGCGAAGGTTTGCTTCTTCTACATTTTCATTACTGCATTACAACATTTTCGAATATGATATGATAATGTATATTATATTAGGTACATAAAATTATACAAGGTTACATTTCTGTGCCCTCTGTTTTTTAAGATTAAGACTCGTATTATACGAAAAGAAATTAAGAATCGAAGGTGTGATGACGGTTTTAACAAAAGATAATTACATTTTGGAAGTTTATGCTCCACTCGATCACAAAAACTCTCATCCCGAAACAAACATTTATCTGAACAGACTTCGTTAACACAGTCTTATACACCATTAAAAGTTACGTGCCACGGCATTAATTAGAACTTCTCATCTTTTCAACCCGAAGTCTTAGTTTGTAAGCACAATATTTCCGCGGTTTCATTTTTAACAACGAATAAAATCGTTGTTAACAATGAAACACTCATTTAAATATTTTATTAAAAAGCTTCGAATACAGAACATTTGTACTTAAGGTGCTTTATCTCATTTGTATTTGATAACAAAAACGCGGGTCAAATGAATATAAGTCAAATATTAACATACATATAACGCTAAAATAATTACTTGTAGGAGTATGTATGTATACAATACTTCATATTAATTGAATAGTCTTGTGCCTTGACCCTTATCGCTTTTTCAATAAATTATTAAATTCCGTCGAAATTCAAGCACGATGAATTAGACCAAGAAAGCTTCGACGTAAACTTAATCGAAGATGTCTCTCAAATCCTTACTCTGTATTATACGCTTTGAGAGACTTGAAGACATCTGCAATGCGAGGCTATATACAACTTTTGCGGATTCAACCGACAATTCTCGAATATTCCGACATCCGACCGCTATAACAAAAACAATAGCCGTTTAATTAAAATCTAGTATAAAGTATGATTTAATTAAAGCATAAGTTAAATGTTATTGTAATAAGAATCACATTGACACGTAAGATTTTTTATGTTAATATATCATGTCATATCTACGTTTGTTAATGAACTGTTATCTAGTTACAGCTTCATGTGTCAAATTTCAAATTTGTTTTTATTCCTAGACTTTTTACGAGACGAGGAAACTAAAAAGTGAGCGATCACTGAGCGATCAAACTGATTAAACTTTTTTCCTTTGCAGTCTGTAGAACCAGATACGTTTAAATTAAGTATTAAATTTAAAATTAATAAATAAAGATTTAAATTAAATAAAATGCCCCCGTGACTAAACTTTCATGAGTGATCGTTATCCCAATTGATATTTCTGACACGTATTTTCAGACGAAACGTTAAAGAAACCAAAACTTTAGTAAATAGTCTCACGAAAATCCTTGCTTTGAATAACCTATTTTATTGAGTCCGTGTCATACAAATCGGAACAAAAGCCATGTATGGGGTGAATTTGTTTCAGAAAGCGTTACAATAATGGGACCCGATTTGTGAATCCGAAACGTGATTGAACTCTTGATGTTTCCCTTACCTGTAATCGACCGAAATGCTGTGCGAGAAGAATGGATGATTTTAAAATCGTGTAATGAACCAAGATCTAAATTATTTTTGACACTAATTTATTTGCCTATATTTAATGTAAGAATTTTTTTTAATCTAATATTCAAATACGGGATTCTTCCTTAAATTAATTTGTGCTTTTTTGGAGTGTACTTCATATTTATGTATTTTATAAACGTAAATCTCTTAAAACCACTTTATCGTGTTAAATAACCGACGTTATGCCAGCTAAAACGTAAATCCCATCACAATATTTTTTTACATAATTTTTCAGTATAATTATAGCGAACTTCAATCAATATTTACGTGAGGTAGTTTTAAAAACAAAAAGCGGCTCTAAACCCACATGGATTTTGTAATTAACTACTCCAAGTAACTCTAGTATTCGCTACTAGGTCGCAAGTAAAAATTGCATTTCATCCGCATGGTAAAACGTACTTGTAAAGGATGTGTAAAAATACATAAGAATAAATATTTATACTTTACAATAGATACACGTTTCGAAAAGTAGTGGGAATATTTTTGTAGGCTCACGTTCAGAAATTCCAAGTAATGTCAGAGTAAAAGAGAGTTTCCATGAGCTATTTTTAAAAGAGGAATACGCAAAAATATATTTATAGTTAAGGATATGATATAAATACTGTTATTATCGTTCGGAGTGTCTATAAAATATGTAGAATTAAATATTACACAATTTTAATTTTGATATAGTTTTATGTTTTCACTTCTGTCGGCAGTCCCCATGAGATGGCCTATGTTTTTTTTTTGACGAACATGTAGTTAAACTTAGATTTAAGTTGTCTCTTATGCCCACTGACGTTTCCAACTTTACGGCCAAATTGCTAAACATTAACGAGCAGGAACATTGATGCTAAAGAAAAAAGCTGCATGGTTCTACCACAATTAAAGATATCAGATGAATATTGGCTATTGTGTGGTCGTTCTATTCTACTAATAAACGTTCACTAAAGCAAAGAGAAATTGCAGACTTTATTGTTGAACAGAAGACCTGTTGTTGAACCTTGACAAAGTGTACTAAACTAAAGTAACCTTTATATTTTCTCTTATTGATATTTCAAAATTATACTGATTTCACTGAAACTGGGTTTAATGGCTCATAACTTGATAAGACATTTCTACTTAATTAACCTCATTTACAAATTTTCTGATTAATTTAATGACAATAAATAATCGCACTACATTGTTTTAAAAACAAAAATGTAACGCCCGTAGCAACAAATTTGAAAAACAATATTCTGATATGTAATTACTACAGCAAACACAATTTATACGAAAGCGCATGAAATTGTAGGAGTATATAATTTATTTCAGACGAAATCAAATAACAAGCGTCGTCGCCGAGCGCGCCATTTCCGCATCCAATATGGCGTTTGATTTCCGCTCCCGTTTCCCGCGTAAACGGTTTATGCCGGATTACATGCAACGTTTATTTTAATCAACCCAGAGCTTGAATCCAGATCCAAGGTATGGCCTATAATCCTATCCCAAGCGCCAATTTCGATACTTTAAACACCGCTACTGTTACTTAAAATTTTATTATGCATGCGCAATTCTTATTACACGTTGGTTAAAAAGAAATTGATTTTTAATCTGTTACAGTCAAATAGGACAAAAACGTTGCGTCACAATTTCTGTTGTGTTTCTTTATTATATTGAATGTACACAATACAATAATACATTTAATTTGATTACATCTCGTGTATTCATGAGATAGAAATGACATCATTGCGGGCTTAATTTCTTGAAAGCATGCTAAATTGATAGCTAGAAATAGCTACTTTTTTCGATCGATTTACTGCTTAATTCAAAAGAGAGCAAACAGATACCAAATCAATATATATAAAAGACATTAAGATATTTGTCGGCGTGGCAATCGGCCTTTAGCTTAGTGCCTAAACCGTCAGGGTGCGAATACGGAAGATGTGGGTTCGATTCCCACAGCGGCGAAAAACTTTTCATAGTTTTTCCTTTGTTAATCTCCAGTGAAGATTATGACTATAAAAAAATTAAATCAGAAAGTAATATTTTATGGTTTGGCATAAAATTACAGATTATATCAGTGACAGTGTTAAAGAATTATCACTACGCTTAAAGAGCTTTAAAACTCGCACCATGTGAAAACGTTTATAAAAACTGTCAGAAAATCTAGCGCCAGAGCATATTTGTAATTTAGCAGCAAAATCTTGCATAGATTTCAGCAACTAAAGTTATCTCGTGTGAGGCGTTTAATTAATCAAACTGTGTATGCGGATTTAATCGCGTCTGTTACAGCGCCACCTATCACGTAGATATGCCCAACCATCTTCCTTTATACTTTTGCTGCCTACCTGCGAATTTGTGTTCTTATTTTCTATGTTTAACGCCTTTTATTATATTATAATCTCCTGTTCTGTTCCATTTCTTTTTTACTACAATACACAGTCTCTAAAACAGTCACGAGCTTCTAAATCATTTCAAAACCTACAAATCTGTTTCATTAATTCTCTAAAGAATTAACAGCGTCTCATTTATGTTTAAACTCCCAAATTGGAGTCATTTCAAATTTGGATCGCAAAAAATAAAAAAAATATTCAAATGCTAACGGTTATCCGGATGAGCTATGACAAAAAACTTTAAACACCTCAACATGTCCCGTCACCATGGATACTGTATTGAATATCAAACATCGTGAATTTACATTTAAAAATCTGTATAAATACTATTCTATAACATATAGTATTTGCGTAAATAAAATCAATCATTATTACATCTTTTAAAATCAAAAAACTAAATAATCCCGCAGCAGCCTTTAAGTAAGACCACGGCTTTTACAGATCCCACCTCTTGAAACATAACTACCGACTACCTGCTCAAAAAGGACGAATAAATGGGACGATAATGTTGCGTAGCTGCACAAATAGTTGCTAGCACAATTAAAACACTATTTCCATAATGGAATGTCGACGCCGCGACACAGAAGCGGCGGCGGCAATAAAACAAGCGGCCATCTTTTGTTGTAATGTGAAATTTTAGGTAGAGTTTATACATTTTACGAATAAAGCATTTGAAATCAAAGTTTGAATTAATACTTTTCTCCTACTTTTTTGAAGTCGTTTATAAATTACGTTACACCTTAAATTTTCTATATTTCATCACGCATAACGTTGATCTGCACTCGCACATTTCTAATAGTAGCGAGTTAAGATAAAAAAATAAATGAATCATATTATGACAGCTATCAACTAGTACACTCTGTTAGAGAGCAAAATTTATTTTTTAAACCAATTACTAATTAGTTACTAACGTCTCAGTGATGAGTGCAGAGGTCTTTAAATTTGCTCCAGTGATAACACAACATATCTGCTGTATTAAGTTCTTTATTAGAAAAAAATTCTCGGAAGACTAATATTATACTAGGAAACCAAGTTCCATTAGAAGTTACTATTGTTTATTATTTTTATGAAGGATGCAAATATTTCTAACACGCAAACCGCTCGTTCGATGTCGTTCTTCGTTGTTATATTCATAAGTGTTCACTGTCCGTGGTCATTCGCAAAAACAAAATGAAAGTGTTTCAGAATAAAACAAAGAACTTCTGAAGGGGTCAACATGCCATAACAGTTTGGTTGTTTCATATAATGACAGAACGCACAGATCAATACCACTTATGGTACCATGAAGCTGCTTCTACAAGTATGGTAGATCCAGGAACGTAACAGGTCCCACAGACAGCGTAATGTTGAAACATTACCATATTTCCGTTTCAACTCCGTAAGTTAAGGCCCATTTATGCCATTCTCTTGTACATACAAGAGCCATTTTCTTGTACATACAAGAGCAATAATTGAATGCATTAAATTGGGCGCAATAATTGTTTAGACCATTTATTGTTTAGACCATGCAACTCATTTATTGCTTCAATTTAAACGGACGCCTATTCAAGAATCGGTTGTAACGCATGTCTTTGGGCTGATGTAATCACCTACTGTCAGTTAAGGGGATAGTTTGCTATATTTATAATAAAACTAAAACTCATTGAGTTTAATAAAAATGTTATGAATAAAAACGTCTCTAAATTTTAACATAAACTGATATATATGAAAACTACGCGATTTCTATCCACTATACCGGAAATCATTAAATAGGCTATTTTATTTTGTAGAAGGTTAAAATTTCAAGGTAAAATCTCTAAATTCTCTATTCCAGAAACATTTCCCGAACAAAATAAAAACTCTACAAGCTCTGTGAGCGTCGTAGTAACAAATAGCATTAGACACAACTAGATACACAGCGTTCTGTGATGCAAGGGGCGGACTGAAAACGACATATCCCTGTTTCGAGGTCTTGAAAAGGCTACCCAATTTTTGAGCTACTTAGATCGAATTTGGCGTAGACTCGCGAAACGGTTACGCGATCGTAGATCGGGCTACGGTTCTACGCAGCATTCGCTTTCGTTGGCACCCCGTCGGGCGCCGCCCGCCCGTTGATCAATGGAGGTCTGTACTACAGACTTTCTTTTACGCTGAACGTAGTTTTTGTACTTCAACGATTTCCCGGTGAAATGGAGCTAAAGCGCAGCCCTCGACTGCGATTCTTTTCTTACACTGAAGTCGAAAAGCGAAAGTGAACGGCTATGAGAGGGAAAGATTTTAGTTTTATTTTTGTGAGACAACTTTTGTCGAGCAATTTAAAAAACGCTATCTCGTTATACATAAATGTAACTAACCTATTCTGTTTTCTAACGGCACTTTTTTATTATTTCCCTTTGGTATACAACATTTCTTTACTATGCTGTGTATTATCTATGAATGTATGCTAATTACCTAATAATTTATAATTATTCAAGGCTTCGTTGTATGCTATCCGATAGAATTTCGGACGAACCTCTATTTCCTTGTGAATATTTTTATCACGCTATTAATAACAGCAATGTACAGAACACGCTGAGAACAAAGGAATTGGTGTACGCTATTGATGTGCATCAGGCTACATATTTCTACAAAGAAATTAATAGTTATGGATAAATCTTGGCGACAGAACGGAATAGTTTCAGTTCTAATTTTGAAAAAAGAAACAATTTTAAATTCTTAAATGAAAGAAAACTGTATTACAATTAACTTTATAGTAACGTATTACTTATTTTTTAATCCTTATTGTATAGCCTTCGACATCGAAAAACACAAAAGGTCGACTATGACGATGTATCATCATTCCATAACATCGTTTTAATAATTCAATACATAATAAAAAGTTCTTATCTCAAAATCTGTCAGGGAGAGAGCTCAAGTTAAGACCTGTTTTCACCCGACTTTTTTATTGATACTGATATGTACAAATATAAATTAAACTATTCCAAATATGAATATTATACATTAACCCGTTAAAAAAAAAAAAATCCGTGCCCAATCAATTTTTACTTTAATAATTCACAAAACATATAGAATAAAAATTGTTTCTGGCTGGATATTAAAAAAAAAACAAATTTAAGTAAATCTAAACGAAAATAATTCCAGAAATAAAACCCTTTCTCTTCTAAAACAACCCGAGATGCCTGTCTTCACTCACTGAGGGACATTCAACGCGTGCCGGCCTCATTTGCAACTTTTGTGCATCTTTCCCTCACACTTGTTTGTCTTAGAGCAACGCGTCAGAAGTGTTTGTTGCCACCATGAAGAGATCTTGGGTCTTTAAAGATTCACAAAAGACGCACACCGTTATCCAGCCTTTACCTTTCGTAATTATCGTTACATAAACTAGAAGTCATAATTTCATGATCGGTATTTCTAAGTTATATAAAACGCAGGATTTTTTTTAATTCCAAATTCATACAACACAACATTTCTGAATAATCCTCTAAACCTGGTGGTTTCGAATATTCAGAAAATCAGTAATTAAGTTGATGGTTTCACAGTTGCGGAACCTGCATTCGATTTCCACGCGGCTCAATTATTTTTTATCTCGAAGATAATCGTTTCAGCTTCGAGTTCATCTCAAAGCTAAATGTGCATATCAAACGTCCATACAACACAGGATAATGCTATCCAACAAAAACACATGACATTAAAAAAAAATTAGCGTTAAATAGCTCTTACTTTATGTTATACAATTGAAAGTCACGAACAGTTGGCCCCATATGTAGGTGTAGTTTGTTTAACGCACGCTATTCGTAGTAAAGTTTAATTCACCGGATCTACTCCCACGTCCTTGTTTTTTCACCTACACTACACACTGACTGGGTTAATTTAACCTTTTCCAGTGTCATAGCATTGCGTACGTTATTTCACATTGTGTTGCATTTTAAAATGAATCGCCTTCCACCCCTGTCAGCGGGCGGCTTTCTCGGGCGTTGAGCGGTCGACGACCCCGTTGTATTTGGGACGACCCGATGTTTATAACGCCGAAGGAGCAAACGCAACAGGAAGTAGGGCGAGGGGCACGGTACCGCGGCGAGCGACCGCTACGATCACGCATCACACCTCGCCGTTTCATTATTTATACCGATCAACTTGACAAACACGTATTTACCTCACCCTAATCTAATCAAACACCACGCTCGAACGGAGTGCTCCCGTCACTTCACTTCTAAACAAATCCACCGCAAGAACAACGTAAATTAGTGACTGAATTAATAAAGAAACTGTTTTCGGTCCATGTACCTTTCCTCCGCCGCCTCCGTTCCGTTCACCATTGACTCTGTTATCTTCATTGCTGTATCCGCAGTTTCGGTAGCACCGGTTGATATTCACACGACCGCACAAATTGCAACGATTGCCATTAAAGCGAGTGGCGGCGAGGACGCGCCAGCGACACTGAATTAGCAGAGCGTCCCACCGCGGGTCCGCCGGTCCAATTCAATGAGACAAGCCTGGATTGCTGCAATTTCGTGGCACTATTATTGCAAGCTCGGGGGCGGGACAGGACGGAACCTCTCGAAACCAAATTGATAGATTAATGGGACCGAAAGAATCCGAGCTCCGCGCGCCGTTCCACGAATCGTATCGGAAGATTTTGCCGAGCGTTTAACCATGTATATACTTCCATGTGAAGGGGACTGAAAGGAAGGATGAATGAATTTAATCACCCAATATGCATCTATAAAAGAGCAACTCGCGCAGGGACATCTAGCTACGTAGGGGGGTCGGGTTGAAGAAGAGAAGGAAATTGCCAATTTCGCTATTATAGATATAACAATCATGGCATGTAACTATCTATATGGTTATTTAACATTGATTGATATAGAATGTTCTGAACTCCTTTAGGCTTTGTTAACACTTTTATTTTCTTAATTTAGGTGGACAGGGACGTGGTGACTTTCACGTCAGAATTGATTTGATTTTATATTTCTCTTACTTCTTCATCACTATAGATCTTCCTTATTTGTTTATACCTTACATGTTATATTAATGAAGGTATTGTTATCCTGCAGACATTTGTCTATCCGTATATGCATAAATAGGGTGCACCTCTCCCTAGAGCTAGTCAGTGTGTGCAACGACATACACGGGGGGCCATTAATGTCAATTTAAATTTATGACCGGACTCGCACCCCGCACCGTCAGCCGCTCACGTGGCCGGCAGTGATTTGCAGCAGTTACAACGCCAATCATTGTTGTACCAACAATTTGCCGCTTAGTTTGTGTGCGTAGTCCCCGGATAAGACGGGTGCCTGACTCTAACGCTTGACCACAGATCCATTAGTGAAACTTCTCGACAATATACAGTATTAATAAACCTAATTAGAGGTTATTAATTGTATATTATATACAGTAAAAATAAAAATCATTGTATTACATGATTAAAATTAGCCTGCAAAGTGAAAAACAATCTTTATCCCGGTAATTTAAGATACCCTTAAAGAAAAATTATTATTTACTCTTCGCAGAATACGTCCGCCAGGGGTTTGACGAGCTCAGAAGTAAATCGAGTTCTTACTGGCTTACTTTTCCTGGATTTTCTCTAGAAACATAATAATATTAAAGATTTATTTATTAGTTCAAAATACTGACCAAACGGTCCCTAAGCTATCGAGCAATCTAGCAAACATTGATGGAGCAAGATCATACAAAAATCAACTTTATCGTTCCCGGAGAGAGCTCAATATGGAATGCTGAACCAACGCTGAACTAAACGTACAATTTAACCGAGACTGCAATAAACGGATATATTACGGAGGTGAGAGCTGTTAGACTAATATTCGACAACCATCGCATTTGTCAGCTAAATTACATATTCCATAAATAATGGCCATTCTGTTTTGCCTATTATCTGCTGGACTAGCATTAGAGTTATGTAAAAGGCACAAATTAGTATTAATATTGCTATCACAGGTGCCTTATACTAAAAAAATAGGAAAAATATTAAAATTTCCTTCTTGAAGATATACTCACTATTATTTTCATCTTGGTTGCTCGGTGAAAACTAAATAAAGTCGATGACCACGAAATCCAGATTTCTAAAGTCTTAGGTCCAACGAAACTTTAAATATCGCATAACATCGAAAGCGTCTTTCAAAAACAATAAAAAAACTCAGCCAATAGAATGTCTGCCGGAAACTTGACACAGACAAATTATATTAGGCTGTCCCAAAAGTTTCTTTCTCTTCGCGCCACGAGTGGCCTTATCTAACTCTGCTTGTGTAAACATGTAGGCTCTTCTATTACCCGTCTATGTCGACGGTTTCAGTCGTTGCGGAGCTCTTTTAGAGTACGTTTCTTGCCACAGTTTCTTTTAAATCTTTCATCCATATCGTTAAACATGGATAGCGATAGGCAACATTTACGTTATGTTATGCTCCATTCTTTCAAGACAGGTGACAATGTAAAGAGCAATGTCGACGAGATTTGTACCGTGTATGGGGGCGGTGCTATAACTATTACAACAATTCGGTTTAAAAGATTAAGCGTGGGAAATTTTAATCTTGAATATGAAGACTGAAGCGGCCGCCCGAAATTGACGAATACAGACCTTACTTGATGAAAATCCGCGATATAGTTTGCGGGATATAGTGATTGCCACTAGGATTCCCTAAACAACAGTGAAACTCTACATGCGATTTGCTTCTGCAGCGGCGCTAAAAGGATCCGTTTTTGAAGAGAAAATTCACGTTTAGTCTCCAGTGAAATGCACTGGAGACTAAACGTGGATTTTGTATGAAAATGTGCATTGAAAACGCACTTGGCGCAAGGATAATAAGCCTTCAACTGTCGCAAAAGGAGGGCTACCCGAAAAATGTGCGTCTATCCATTTAGTGGGATGGTAAAGGCGTATTTTTCTACGAGCACCTTCCTCAAGGCGAAACAATAAATTCTCTATAGGTACTCTGAACATGATCAATTGAAAGGTGCCATAGTAAAATAAAATCAGCCAGAATTAATGAACCGACGAGGTGTTGTTTTTTTTTTTATCATATTAGTAAAAGGAAATAAACTTACACACTGTTAAATAAACAGAGCTCATAAATTATAAAATTTTCTTCTCTAGTGACATTAGTACTTCGTTTCTTGTGTCATAATAAAAACACTTAGATTACATAAATTGTTATGTCGTATATGCAAATAACGATGCCCGCACTGACATGTGTAAAACCCACTTGGCGTCCATAAGCTGTAGGGACACGCGTGGAGAGGCGTCGGAGACATCTCCAGACCTCTCTCCACACAAAAGCACTACACTGGAAGGTCTGCGTACCTACAAAAGCTCTTCGCTCCACTATCCATTATAAAGAACGACTAATTATATTAAGAAAATTGTTATTTAACTCCTCGTACGTATTTAATTTCTTACAACTAACGTTAACTTTTAATTCATGATTTGAATAAATTCGTTTTGTAAAAAAAATCTTTCGTCTTATATTTAATAAAAAAATTCCAGACTTGGTAAAGATTTGCCAATAATTAAGTTTCACATATCATTAAAAATTGGCTGATAGAAAAAAGATATTATACTGTAAATAAATGTTTAAACTCTTAATTAACATAGTTTACAAAATCCCACGAATATTATAATTGGAAATTAATTTATCAAATTAGGATCTAGATTCGAGTCGATCCATGGGCAATCAATGCAATTCGTTTTTTTTTTGTGAAAAGTTGCCAAGCGAGCAGATAGTTCATCTGATGTTAAGTGAATACCGCCGCCCATGGACATCTGCTACACCTGAGGGTTGCAGATGCGTTGACAACCTTTTGAAAATTGGACTCCGGCTACCTCACTCACCAGACGAAACGCGAAAGTATTATACTTCCACTTGACGCCGATCTTCTGTGAGGTCGTGGTACTTACCCAGACGAGCCTGCCCATTCGTGCAACAGCCGAGGCTGCTACGTGACCCTACCACCGTTAAATTAATTTATTTTTATATTGTTAAATATGAATGTGTTTATATCTTTATATTGTTCCCAACCGATAGATGCAAATGGCAAAGTGTCGTTCGTTGTGGAGTTCTTAGGCCTATGTTCAACAGTGGACGTCTTGCGGCAAATTATTATGATGATGATGATGAAATATAATTGTACTTCTAGAATACGGTAAATATTTATATAGGTGATTGAATTAATTATATTTGACATTAGTACAAATTATTTACATTATTAAAATATAGAGAGGGTATTGTTATATTTGATTATTATTAGGTATATTAATTTAAACTTAATTAAAATTTTTCAATGAAATGACATGATCACAGGTATTAGTGTAATATTAACTTAAATTCATATTTCCATGTTAAATAATGAAAATGTAAGTGTCCATACAAGTGGAACAAAAACATTTCTTTTTTAATTCAAAAACTGGCTAGCACTTGACTGCCATCCCATACAATTATATTTGTACCATCAGAAATACCTTGTGTAATGGCAAATAAATAAATAAATAAAAAAAGATTTTTAAAATGAACAACTCATGTTCCTTCGAAAATGCTATAACATTTAGTTTTCATAATTAATAGCTTATTGTCTTATATGGATAGCACGGCTAAACTGTACAAATTCAAAATGGGAAAATCGAAAACGAAATAATAAAAAAAATAGAAATAACTCAGTAATTCTCGTTTTTACTATATTTTATTAACAATTGACTCTCTTCCATTACTACCAAGTAATGAAATTACTGCTTCAACCTTCGAAGGAATGGAAAACCGATAACGCGTTATTTCGTCCCGGAACACAATTACCTAGTACGGTAGCAGGATAAAGCTTAGAAACTCTCGTCAAACATAATAATAATAATTTAACAATTTTGTGCACATATGTTTTCACAAAATTTGGAAGATTTTCTTCCGAATTTGTAAAGCGATAAGTTTTTATACTTTCGTGAATATTACCAAGTTTTTTTTTTTATAAAAAATGTATTGTTTCAATCTATTACCTAATTTGTGTAGTTTTTATATGGTTTTTATTTGATCGAATGTGCAAAGGCGAAGGTTAATTTGATTTCTACATCGTACGCAGCCATTTTGTCTAAAGCCAATTTGTCAGCAATCCAATGACAATGACGTAGAAACACCTTGAAAAGGCTTTTCGTTTACATGTTATAACAATTATTATAAGTTTATTTTTACAACTTTGTCATCAAATTATAAAATCAAATGGTGTTCGGTACATGTTAAAAGTTTAAAAGCTTATACGCATATAAGTGAATGTTTACAACATTTAATGGGTAAACAACCCAAGTTTACACTACGTAAGTGATTCCATCAGCTGCGGTCAT